TACCACACATCACCTCTAGGTCACAATTTGTAACTAGATTTGGGCCACATATCAAAATCGATGTTGAGATCCACACAAAATTCCAAAATCAAAATCGATGATGAGATCGATGCTGAAATCCCCCAAAAATGTAGAATCGGACCTCTGGAAACCACCCCTTGATCTTTATGAGTTTGATTTCTGGGAATCGATAAAACAAACAGATCTAAAATGGTATTGAAACCCTACACACTCGATCCTATGAGGGAATCGATCAAGTGCACTCGGTCATGAAACAAATCTGCACTTGGTTCTTATTTAAATGGAAAAGAGAAAAAAAAGACTAGTGTTCTACAACCCTCTGTAACCATGTCGTCGGAGACAGTGGCCGCCTCCGCCTCCGATTCGAACAAAGAAGAAAGAAAGAGTCTGACAGTTATAATTGAGAGAGAGAGAGAGAGAGAGAGAGAGAGAGAGAGACTTCTTCATTTGGGGTGTATGTGTTGGTAGGGTTCGATGTTTCAGAGAGGAGATAAGTGGTTTCTTAATGCTCGCGGAAGAAGATGAAGTCGGTGAGGCGATGTTCGTCATTGGAAGATGAAGCCGGTGAAGTGTTTGGTGGGGTTCGATGACCTGGAAACAAGGAAGGTGGAAGGAACGTAATAGGAAAGTGAATGTGGAGCGGTAGGGTGGGTATTTAATTTCTTTTTTAATATAAATTAATTTATAATTAAATTAAAAATAAGTATTAAGGGCAATATAACCATTTATGGCTAGCAAATGATACAACGTGCAAATTTAAACTAAAGAGGGACCAAACGTGCAAGTTTTAAAATAATAAGTGATGGTCTGAATTAAGTTTTGAAATTAAGGACCGGACGTTTTTTATTTTTTTTTTCACTTGCACGAGGGACCGATTCGTATAATTTACTCTAGTAAAAACTAAAGAAATCAATAATTATAATGTTCCTAGATTGACAGATGTTGTTTTTAAAAGAATTATTTTTAGCATTTAAAAAGGTCTAACGACGCAACTTGTTGCCCATTTGTCTTTCATAACTATATAGTGTTTGTCTTTCATAACTACATAGTATATACCGACTTTTTTTATAACAATATATAAAAGAAAAATCCAAAGTCGTTTAAAAAAATATATAAAGAAATAAACAATCAACAATGAAATTTGATAAATAAAGAAATCAAACTATGTAAATTGAATTGTTAATATTATAATAGCCTTATTTATATTATTATTATTATATATTATATATTTAGGTTTTTTCGATTAAACATCAATTTTTTTTAGTAAAACACTTATTTTTACTAAGTTGTGCAATTTATTACTCATCTTAAAGCTATTATTAGTCTTATCATTCTTTTGATGTATATAGACTTTTATAACTATTTATGATCTTACTATTTTTTAGAGAGTAAGATTGAATTTTCCTCCAAAAAAAAAAAACTTGAAAAAGTTTTTTCCAAATGATGGGAATGCATGTTATATCATGTCTAAACCTTAGCTTTGTTTAAAACAGAAGCAAAAAAGTAGTGATGTTTTATAATTTGCTTCTCACATTTTGATATCTACGTTTTTTCTTGATGATTTTTCCGTAGCATATACTTCTCTTGTCTAAAAGAAATTAATGTTTTCATTTTTATTTTCTATGAAAAAATTATGTAAAGTTTAAGTTTCAGATTTGGTCTTTATGCTTTATCCAAATTTGAAAGTTCAATCAAAATTTCCAAATTGTACCAATGATGTCCTTAAGTTTGCATATTGTTGCGGATATGATCCCGACCCATATAAATGACATCATATTTTTTTAATGAACTTCCAATTTTCAGTAAAAACGCATAGACCATATCCGCAGTGAAATGCAAATGTAAGGATTGACATTGAAACAATTTTAAATTTTGGACTAAACTTATATTTTGAATAAAACACAAAGTCCAAATTTGCAATTTACTCTTATATAAATGTATACTCTTTGTTAGTACGAGCGTTCTACGATGTTTAAACTTAAAAGCTAAAATAAACAAACACAAATCTAAACTAATGTGATGTTACTAAAACTTTGCTTTAATTATTGTATAAGCTACTAGAAATCCTTTTTATTTGCTTTTCATATCTTGATGTTTACTCTACCTTAGACTCTATCAAAGAATTTATTAATTTTTACCAATCCTATTGGGCACTAGTCTTTCCCCTGGATTGACCCGAACCAACTATATTCGACATTTGGTTAATTTAAAAATAAATAAATAAATAAATAAATAATAAAAAAAATCGACCACCTTAAAACCAAATCAAATGTAAGCATTCCGATGTAAATAGAAGGTTAGAACTTAGAAGGTATACATACATTAAAATCCCACAAAAATAATTCATATGAAGCTTATATAAGTTGTCGAATCATATATTATATTGGCCAGTTTTCCTGTAAGTGAGCTTATCTCCATTCAGTGTAATCATCCAACAATCGACGTGGAAAATAAATACGGATCAAAGTATTGTATAACACAACAGACGCATAGGAATCAAATTACGAAAAGAGATTAAACCAAGGTCCAAGGGCCATTTTGACGTCTCTCCAAAAGCCAAAAAGTTGAATAATATATTTTTACTTACCATTTTTATATCTATACCCGGTGGTGGATTTAGTATGGTCCTGGTGTTGCACCGACAACACCTGTTTTTTCTGTTCGCCGTGAAAAAATTTTCGCTTTATTTTTTACGCTTATACCGATTTTCCATGTATCGGCAACACCTATTTCATCTCGGCAACACCTACTATATATTACTGCGTCTTCCCCTGTCCATACGTTTTTTATGAATGTATGTATGTATGTTTTTTTTATAAAATTGTTAGTAAAAATATATTACATTTTAACGGGGGTAATCTTAATGAAAGTTGTAGTAGACTCAAAAAATGAACAATGTGGATAAAGATCCTTAAAATCTGATATCGTATTAAGAAGTTACGATGTTCAAAATACAAGACCTAAGCCAAACCACAAGACTTACGCAACCAAGCAGTCGAGATCGCATTGGACATAAGCATCAACAACCCCAAGCACCTCATCAATGATTGTTTCACGTAAGATCTCGTGAAAAAAAACCTAAAGAAATCAATCATAAGTACTGAATGAGTACAAAAAATGACTTATTTTGAAACAAAAAAAAAATTAAGGACTAAATATGTACAAAAATATTAAGGACTAAATGTGTACAAAATGAAAAATATATTACCCTATCAAGTCATTTTTCCCGGCTAACCTGGAGTAACAGGTCATAAGGACTGAATGTGTACAGTTTAACAAGTTTAAGGGGTAAATGTGGACAAAAAAAAAATTCACTGACCAAATGTGTAGAAATCGAATAATATGTTACCGTTTTGAGTCATTATCCCTAAATACAGATCCCAAGGTATAAGTATTCCCTGAAGTAACAAGTGACCAGATAAAGGAATCCACCATGCATGGGAAAATCCTTACGGATCTTTCTTGGATTTTGAACATGTAAGCTTTATTACTGTTTCTTTGGTGGGATGTTATATCCTGCAGTTGTTTGTTGTATGGCCATTTAACCATTCTATCCTACACTTCAATCCTAATATTCTCTTTCATATATGAAAGTTTCTGGTTTTTTAATTTAAAGAAAGTTAAATTACAAAATTTTGATTGAAGCCATGGACAAAAAGGTTACAACATTCTCAGTTGTTATTCTGGGTGCTGAGTTTAATGTATATATGTGGTAAACTACTAAATATTGTTAACTAATTTGTTAAAAAAAGTATACATTTTTTCCATAGAGATAATTTATATATCTTATTCTTCCTTTTTAACGATTTATATTTATTTGTTTGATTACTAACACGTTTGTATAAGTAATGGTGTATTCGTTTTGTTCAGGAAACGAATAATGGGCTGGGTTTTGTGTTCTGATTTTGACTAGAAGTCATTAATTGGGTTTTGTCTGATGACTAAGTGCCATGCCCATAGGCCATAGGCCCATAGATCGTATACAACATTTTTTAGAAAATTTAAATGAAAGAACTTGGAAGTGCAAAAAAATAACTAAGAAAGGTACTTTTATACTCTTTGTAGAACAAAGCAATGTTTTCCTATGCTCCTGCCAAAAAGGCCATGACGTGAAGTTATTGAAGGTATGACTAGTCAGATAATTTAATGCAAGTGCAAATAAGTCGATGGGACATCCATAAATAGACCTGCATGCCCAAAAGAGATCGACCCAGGGGAAAGTGTGAGAGACATTAATGCAATATCACCTTCTATTGCTGAATATAGTAATTATTATACTCCTCCGTTTCAAAATTATAGTCCATCTTTCTTTTTTGGTTTGTCTCAAAATAATAGTCCACTTCTAAAAATAAATAACATTTTTATCAAAATACCCCCTCATTATTACTTAACCAACTAAGCATTTCATGAAACATTAAATGCAACGTAAGGACAAAATTGTCATTTTATTATATAAAGTTAATGGTAATTAATGGTTTCTTAATCTATGTGTTTTTTGTCTGTAGACAATAATTTTGGGACGGAGGGAGTATTTGAAATACGGAGTTTTATTCTACAAGGGTTTGAATTTATCCGGCACTTATCATTTTGTCATTTTGGGTTATTAATGGTTAATAATGATTTTTTTTGGTAGTTTAGAGACATAAAATCTATTTTTACCTGTTAAAAAAGGTCCAAGACTTGTTATTACCGGTATTCTTGATGACATGACTTTTTTCACAAGTTATAAGTATTAAACTAAAATCCACCTCACAAATTACCAAATCATAACCAAAATCTACTCAAACACTTAAAATACAGGCACCGTATCAGAATATTCTCTTCTTTCTTCATCCTCTTCGACTCATTGCAACCAAAATCTTGTTCTTCCCGTCCGACCCTTTCCCGTCGGCTTGCTCCGCCACAAAACTCAACGGATTTGCCTCATAAACAACCAGTTGCTCCGACGTCATATCATGTACATAATTTGTACCTTCGACTTAATGATTCTCCAGATCTAACCTCACAACCTCATCGTTGCTACCAGATTGAGCTTGAACATGATCTTTATTAAGCTCGTCGGAGATCTGTTCAACCAGTTGCTCCGGCTTTATAGCGTGTATAGGATTTGCAGCTTCGACTTCATGATCATTGTTAAGCTCGCCGTTTTTTTCTTCATTTTGCGATTCCACTTGTGGCTCAAGAGCGGTATTTTTGATTTTTCCACCATCATCTTCTTGAGATTCTTATATAATTTCACATGGGGTTTCAGATTTTACAAATGTTAACGAATCAAGCTTCTCTTGTAAATCGACAAGCTCTTTTGCCACAAATTTCCTAACATCTCTCATAATCGGATGCAAACCCTGATAAATCGCATATCAAAGAACAAAATTATGATTCCAGCAACAAAAAAAAAATTACAATTGAGAAGATGAAGAAATGAAGGTGTACCTGAATGGTGTCTAGCTTTAGGAGAAGACTCATTATGGTCTCTCCGATAATCAATTTTTGCTTGTCATCCATGGATGACGCCAGATCCTGAATACGATTTCTCAGCTCAACCACCTGTTTTCCAACTTGAGCAATTTGCCTTAATTTCATCAACGACTGATATTTCCTCACTTCAAAACCACGATACACAGACTGTATCATCAACATTGATTCAATTACATTAGGTGTTGCACGTGGCAATTGAGTTGACATCTAAACCTGCTGATTAGGATGGGTGTCATTGGCTGACTCGTTCAAATTTTATAAAAGGACATTTTAAAACCTAAAAATACATGTTCGTGCCATTCAAATGTAAAAAATAGTCATGAGGGAACATTTAAACAAATATACTAAAGTTTGTTGGGCTACAATGACAATAATGCTATCATTTTGCATTGGTACATGCCATATAATAATGACTATAACACAACAATTTGGATGGAAACCCTTGGTGGCAAAAGCCACAATGTACTAGACTTGTATATATTAAAATTGACTGGAGGAAGAAGGTTACAATTTTTGATGGAGAGAAGGGAAAATATTTTTGACTGAATGAAATAAACTACCTAAGGCCTATATTTATAATCTAGCAACTGGTGTCCTAAAAACTAGAAAAAGGAAAGTTTGGCATATTCTAATAACTAGGTGTTGAGAATCGTCCAACTGTGTTCCAGATGGTTCTTTGGATTGCTTCCTTATCAAGTCTTCTATCTATTAAGGATTATAGTTATCTTGTTTCTGTTTTCTTTTATTTAGAGTTTGTTTCCATATCTAACTCCGGTAGTATATATACCTAGTGTAATCTCCTTATTTTATTGATTAAGAAGAAAAAACAAAAGTTATTTTGATATCAAAGTTATTATGGTATCAAAGCAGTCTCTGGGCATTCGAACCTAGTTTCTGTTTATAATCATGGTTGAAGCCGATAAACCCTCCAGTTTAGGCGAGAAATCTGTCTTAGATATATCGTCTCCTTATTTTCTCACATCTACAGATCATCCAGGACAAAATTTTGTGGGTGAAAACTTGTTACGTGATGGAAACTATGGTGTTTGGGAGAGTGAGATGGCAAACATACTCTTTGCTAAGAACAAGATTGGGTTTTTTGATGGAACACTACATGTGCCGGTAGAAGAATCTATCAATATCATCATCTGAAGAAGATCTAATGCAATGGTCAGGGGATGGTTGGTGAGTTATATGGAGAAAGAAATCAAGAACAATGTTAAATATGTTGTGACTGCTCGTGACATTTGGCTTGATCTGAAAGAAAGGTTTGGGAAGGAAAATGCTCCTAGGGCGTATAAACTAAGAAAAATGATGATTATTGTGCGATAGGAAGGTATGACTATTTATGCATATTACACAAAACTTAGAAGTATTTGGGACGAAATTCAGTCAATTAGTCAAATTCCCACCTGTAATTTTCGAGGATGTAAGTGCAACCTCAACAAGGACATGACTAATTTAAGAGAAAAAGAGCGATTTTATGACTTCCTCATGGGTCTCAATGAGGAGTTTAATGCTGTGAAAACCCAAATTCTTAGTACCAGTTCGGTTCCCACTTTGGGCATAGCATATCATCTTGTTAGTCAAGATGAATAGCAAATAAATATTGGTGCTCCTTGTGGAACCAACAACGATTCATCTGCGTTGCAAATGACAGGAAAAGGAGGCACACGACAACCTGGAAAGTCCATATCTCAGTCAAAACGAAACAAGATGATCGTGGAAAGGGATCAAAATCTGATGACCGTTGGTGTTCCCATTGTCACAAATCAGGGAACACTATAGATAGATGTTTCGAATTGGTTGGTTATCCTAAATGGTGGAACAAAAAGTCCACCATTGGGAAAAATCGATCAGGTAAGCAGAGGGTTCAAGCTCGTGCAACAGTTATCACGGAAGAGTTAAAATCACTGGTGATCACTAGAGAAGAATATGACTGCCTCCTAAAGATGATACGGTCTAATACAGGACTTACGTTCGAGGAATCTGGTTGGGACGGGTAGAGAACGAGATGGATTGTACTATTTGGAGCAGTTCAAAAGAGATAGGGTGGCAATGAAAGTTTTAAGCAAACAAATAATTTGGCACAGAAGATTGGGACATGCATCTGAAGCAGTTATAAAGAAAATACAACAACTAGACGTAGGTAATTGTAACCGGTTTTGTGGACACCCATTTTCCTAGAAGAGTGGAATCAGGGTTTCAAGGAGTCAAAGGCTTGGTTTTTGGGTAAAACCAAGGCTCACGACGTGATACATAGAAGGGTCACGACATGAGGAGAGATTAATGAAGAAATTGTATATATGCTGAGCCCACGACGTCAACAATAAGAGCTCACGACGTGAGGATCGCTGCAGCCCAAGCTCATGAACTTTTAGGGTTTCCTACGTATTTAAGCCCCCTTAACTCGGTTCTAGGGTTCATTTCTCAACCTCCACCTCCCTCCAACTCAGAAAACCCTAACCCTCATCCCTGTTGGTGGTTTTGGATCCATATTTGTGATTTAGTGGCTAGAAGAAGGAGAAGATGTTCTAAAGTGTTGGCCCAGCAAGGAATCATCATCATCGTCATATTGTGCACATTCTAGACTTGTGTAAGTGTCCAAGATTCAACCTTTATGAGTTTAAGTTACTAGATCTAGGCTCTTGTCCCTTTTCCTTCATGATTGTGGAGGTTTGCATGGAGGAGATCCATAAAGTTGGCAACTTTATGGCCTCTAAGGGTCCCTTGAGAATCATATCTTATGGATCTTAAGTTTAGTTGTGATTTATGAATCTTGCATGAGTTTCGGGCCATTTCTTGTCATTTTGATCTAAGGTGGGTTTAGGACATGCACGGGGCATGCATGTCCATCAAGTAATCATTTTTATTGACCTTTAGAGTCATCTTTAGATTCTGAAAGAGTTAGGGTCGAAAACTTAATGGATTAAGGACTCAAAACATTAGGATATGACATCAGACTATGCTCACGATGTGACACAGGGAATGGCACGACGTGAGAATGGTTTTTCCCCGCAGAACTTGATCATTTGGAGCTCACGACGTGACCAAGGAAGGCTCACATCGTGAGGACTGCTTTTGAGTCGTTTCGCCCGAGCTTTTGAGTGGTTTCACCCGAGATCGAGTTGGAATCTGTCTGAGTGTATTCTCACGACGTGACCAAGGACTGGTCACGACATGAGGGTCAACCGTTGGTATGTTGACCATTCACTTTGACTTTGGTTGTTGGCTTTTGACTTGGTTTGACTTTTGGGTCAAGATTCTATTTTTAGAAGGTAGACTTAGGGTTTACCTTGTGTGGCTTGATAGGAGGTGTCGATCACCCGTCTTTTGGCAGGAGAGCAGCTAGCTGAAGTCGGCTTCATGATTCAAGTGAGTTTCCTTCACTGTATATGTGGGTCGAAGGAACTAATGTCGGCCCACTAAGTTATGCTTGTAGTATGATGATTGTCTTCGTGATAACTGTTTGTTATGCTTGTAATTGCTTGATGTCTATGTGATTCTTTTGTTATGAGATTATGTGGTAGTGGTAGGGGTGAAATAGACCCGATATCCGGTTGAAATAAACCGAAGGGTATTGCAAGCACCCAAATATGCTTGACTGTATCCGGTTGAAATAGACCGCAGGGGACTGCAAGCACCCAGATACGCTTGACTGTATCCGGTTGAAATAGACTGTAGGGGACTGCAAGCACTCATATATTCTTGACTGTATCCAGTTGAAATAGACCAAAGGGGACTGCAATCACCCATATATGCTTGACTGTATGATTGTATAGTATGGGGTATTTTGGGGGAGATCACTAAGCTTTGTGCTTAAGGTTTTAAGTTTATGTTTCAGGTACTTACGGTTCGAAGGGGAAGGGCTCGAGATGACTGCATTGCGTTCACCACATTGTTCCGCTTTTTAGATGACTCTGATGTACTTGGGTGTTATTTGATACACTCTGATTTACTATGTTTTCCATGATGTTGTTTTGGATAATGGTTTTATTAATTTAAAAATCAAAATTTTTACTCTTAATTTTTGGGACGTTACAAAAACTAGATTACCTTTCCCATTAGCTTTTCTAAATATGTAGGATGTTTTGATTTAATACACATTGATAGTTAGGGTAGATACAAACATGCTACTCTTAATGGAGAACAATATTTTCTGTCCATTGTGGATGATCATAGTAGGGGAGTTTGGGTTTATTTAATGAAAAACAAATCTGAAGCAGGACAAATTGTGATTTCGTTTTACAACAGGGTAACAACACAATTTAGTAAAAGAATCAAAAGGATACGAACATATAATGGTTCTGAATTCCAATCAAAACACATGCTTGATTTTTACAAAGAACAAGGAATACTCTTAGAAACTTCATGCCCCTACACGCCTGAACATAACAGTGTAGTTGAAAGAAAACACCGACATCTGTTGGAAATGGATCGTGCATTACGATTCCAAGCATCATTTCCTATCGAATTTTAGGGTGATTGTGTCTTAACTGCAACCTACATCATCAATACATTACCTACTAAAGTTGTAATGTCCCAAAAATAAGACCCAAAAATTTCATTTTTAATTAAATAAAATCGATATTCCAAAAACATCATCAATACAATCCAAATAAAACAAGTATATCAATCGTCATATCAAATCAGAGTAAATCACAAAACACGGAAGGAGGTGGTGTGTGCCCTGCAATCATCCCGAGCCCTTCCCTTTGGAAATGGAAGTACCTGAAACATAAACTGAAAACCGTAAGCACAAAGCTTAGTGAGCTCCCCAATATACCACATACCATACATAATAAACACATAATGGTCCCCACCCGACATCGAGCCCCGCTCGGTATACAGATCGGGCCCCGCCCATCATATATATAACATATATCAAATAAACACATACACATGCAATAATCACAAAGATACATAGCATACAAAATGGCCATCGGGCCCCGCTCGGTAAGCATACAAGTACATACACATGCAGAGTCACACAGACATCTAGCATTCTAGCATAACAAAAACATTGGCCGACATTGGTGCCTTCGACCACTAAACACAGTGAGGGAACTCACCTCGCACTGATGAATCACACTGATAAATCCCTGACTGCTGGTCCGACAAATCCCTGAGATATCAATATCAAATAATATCCAATTAACAAT